TCTCCCATCATCTCCTGACATAGTCAATGCTCAGCTTCTCAGTGTGGCTTCCAGGGAGGGCCAGAGATGGAGGACAGAAAGAGGCAGGGGACTCGTCAGTCGCTGGCAATTACACAGTGCTTTGTCATTCTTAATTAGCTCAGTGGCTCTGCAGCCTTAGATCTCCCAGGGCTGCCCACGCTGGGAGGAGGCAGCTGCAAGGGTTCACTGGGGACAGCAAGTGGGTGGGCAGGGCGGGGCTCCTCAGGAGTACTTTGTCCAGATCCTTCAGGCTCTGGGAAGGTAAGGACTTCCAGTCCCCTCACTGGAGACCTGCTCACCTGTTGGGAACTGCCCACAGACTCACTGTAAAAATTTCAGATGGCCAGCATGGCTGTTGGTTGGGCACCTGCTTCATGCTCCAGAAGCCTCAGAAAACCCTCGAAGGTGGCCATGAGCCCACTGTACTGACAAGAAAACTGAGGCACTGTTAGTTTAAGGTGATACACACATAGATGGAGGATTTGGTTGAGAGCCCAGGCATAAGCCCAAGGTCCGAGAGATGCTGTCAGTATGGTGCATATGTGTGCAAGCACGTGCAAATATGTATGCATGCACCTGTGTGCATGTCTTAGGGCAAGAGCAGTGGTTTAGCCATGCAGTGGTGGCCCACACCTTTAATCCCAGCTCTTGGGAGGCAGAGGCAGGTGGATCTCTATGAGTTCGAGGACATCCTGGTCTACAAAGCAAATTCTAGGATATCCAGGGCACACAGAGAAACCCTGTCTCGAAAAACAAGAACAACAAACAAACAAATAAAAAAAGTAGTTTAAGTAGCTAAGGCTGGGATATTGGAGAGGGAGGCCATTAGATACTATAGCATAGGTGAAAAAATAGCTACAAGGAGTAGCTGGAAGTTTCTAGAAAAGGAAGCATTGTAAGCAGAGAGGATGGGCCAGGTGAGCAGGATAGCAGGCCGGTTAAAGGCTAGAGCTGTGTAAGGGCTTCTCATGGACTACGAGCTTTCAGTCACTCAGATCCACCCAGGTAGCTGAAGCGAAGTCAGCTTGCTCGTGGCTCAGGCCAGGTCAGGCTGGTTCCAGTCTCCAGAGCACTCCCTTCCCTGGAACCCGCGTGAGAACCACAGCCACAGAGTGTTTCTTTGTTTGAGACAGGGTCTCACTCTTGATAGTAGCTCTTGCTGTCCTAGAACTCACTCTGTAGACCAGATTGTCCTGGAACTTGCTTTATAGACAAGGCTGGCCTCGAACTCACAGAGATCCGCCTGCCTCTGCCTCCTGAGTGCTGGGATTAAAGACGTGCGCCACCACCACCCGGCTCAGTTTAACTGTTTTTAGTAAACCTAGACCCTCAGTATTTAAACATTTTGCCAAAGGCCAAACTCACAGCAGCTTCTTCCAGGCTGATTTGTCCTTTCCAGGAGACAGAGGAACAACAGGTGGAGGACTGACTCAGCGAAGCAAGAAGATTAAAGTTTTTATTAAATTTACTTATTCATTTTCCTGGGGGGCCCGTGTGCACAACATGTTGTGGGTATGGAGGTCAGAGAAAAACTTTGAAAATTGTATTCTTCTACTACATGGGTTCTGGGGGATTGAACAGGGCCACTGGCTTCTCACCTAGGCCTCTGTTTCTGTCTCAGTCGCTGCACAGAGATGCTAATGGCCCATCCACTTGACACCTGCTCTCTCTCCGGGGGTCCTTGTGAGTACTGAGAAAAGAAGCCATTCAACTAAAGCCAGAAGCTGCTTACTCCTGTGAGAGCGTCTCCCCTTTTCACCTCATTGATTTTTATTTTGCAATTACTAAGGGACTTAAGGTCATTGCAGAAGTGTTTGTAAAATTAGAACAGAGAAGAGAAAAAATTAAAAACAAACAACAAAGAGTGCCGGGCATGGTGACACCTAACCCAGCACTCAGGAGGCAGAGGCAGGCGGATCTCTGTGAGTTCAAGGCCAGCCTGATCTACAGAGTAAGATCCAGGACAGCCAGGACTACATAGTAAGAACTTGTCTTAAAACGTATAAATTAATTGCAGGGCAGTGGTGGCACATGCCTTTAATCCCAGCACTCAGGAGGCAGAGGCAAGAGAATCTCTGTGAGGTTGAGGCCAGCCTTGTCTATATAGTGAGTTCCAGAACAGCCAGGGTTGTTATACAGAGAAACCCTGTCTCAACCCCTCCAATATATGTGTGTATACACACACACACACACACACACACACACACACACACACATAAATACAATATATATTTGTAAAACAAAACAGAGGTATGGGGATATAGTTGGTAAGATGTTTGCCTTAGCACGCGTGAGACTCCAGGTTCAATCCACAGCACCACATACACCTGGAGGGTTGAGGGGGGATTGCCCCATAAGGCCACCTGGGAGGTGGAGGCAGGAGGGTTAAGGTCTTCTTCATTAGGCTAGGTAGTGAATTGGAAGCCAGAAGGGAGCTACAGGAGCCCCTATCTAAAAACAAACACCAGCAGTAAAACCCCCAAACAGAAAGACACCTCAAAGCCTGTCTTGAGTGCTGAGTATGAGTCCCTCACCCCTGTCCTGGAGTTTTCAGCATCTCAGTATCTCAGATGGGAGGCAGAGAGCCCTGGCTGCTGGTCCTAGCCTGCTGTGTGACCTTGGTCAAGTTCCCGCTCCTCTCTGGGCCTTAGCCTCCTCACCTGTGAAATGAGGCGTTGGGCACAGCGACTGCCCTGGAGGCCCCTTGCAGCTCCAACCTTCTGTCTCCACTTCTCTTTCTGGAAGCAGCAGAAGGGCCCCCAGCAGCCTGCCCCTCTGCAGGAGATGCATGCCTGACAGCTCTCAGCAAGTCACCTCCGGAAGGACACGAAACCGCTAAACAGTCTTTGCTGCCCATACAGGGTTCCCAGGCAGGCCTGTTTACGGGGTCCATATGTCTCCCCTGCCAACCAGACACCACCGCTGCTCTTGGGCCCATAGCCCTGTTCACTGCTTTCTCTCCAGGCTCCAGAAATCTCTCTGTTCTTCTAGGATCACGCTGACCTTGGACAAGAAAGCTAGGGTCTCAGCTCTGTCACCTCCTACCCACTGCCACAGCCTTCTGAAGGGACAGATGACCTGGGGCGGTAGAAAACTGGACTAGAGAGAGAGGGGAGGAGGAGGGATGGGCAGCCCTTCCTGCTGACAACCCTCCAACTCCTCTTATACCTTACTTAGGCACCTGGGGTTAGAAATGAATCAAAAAACCTTTGTAAGTCTTTGAGGACATGGCCTCTAATTCAGGGGGAACAACAGGGAGCAGATTTACAGTGCTCCAAGTTCAATGCTGTGGGAGCCCATGGGGAGAAATTTAACCCAGGGGTGGTGCTCCAGGAGGGCTTCCTGAACGAAGCAGATGGATTCTCGGGGTCAGGATTTAGCTTCTCTAATCCAGTCCCACAGGTCACCCCTGTGGAAAAGGTTTTATTGTCACCTTCACAGATGAAGCCAAGAAAGGCCAGATCACTACCATGACTGCCACAAGGACCACTGGGTGCTCAGTGGGGCTTCTGTTTCTAACACTTGGGGACTTCAGGTGTGTCTCCTGCGGTAAGGGAGGCTGTGGCTGGCTGCACTGTCCGCTCAAGCTGAGCAATTGGAACAGACAGGAGGGTTTAGAAAGAGCAGAATGTGAGCCAGGCACACTGGAGACAGTCTGCTTGTCTCCTAGCCAGGGTAGGCCTGCAGGCTTCTGAAACTAACCAGACGTCACAGCTGTGTGGCTGAGGCATGGCCTCTGACAGCCAGGGAGTGAGTGCCCGCCTTGGATGTCCTCTGCCTGGGACTGCACACAGTCTGACCCAATGCCCGGGGTTTTATGGTTAGAATTACATACATATATATATATATATATATTTCTTTTTTGAGACAGGTTTTTTTGTGTATCTCTGGCTGTCCTGGAACTAGCTCTTGTAGACCAGGCTGGCCTCGAACTCACAGAGATCTGCCTGCCTCTGTGCTGGGATTAAAGGTGTGCACCACCACCACCCCATTTATTTTGAGTTTTTTTGAGACAACATTTTTACTCTGTACCTCAGTATGCCTTGGAACTTGCATGAATCCTCCTGCCTCAGCTCTCCCTCCCTAAGTGCTGGGATTACAGGTATGAACCATCACTCCTGGCTCCAGAGTTCATCTAACTTCCTGGAGCTGGAAGAGGTGTGCTGCCTTGGGAACAGGCAAGGGTTGAAGCAAGGTTATAGTGTCTGCCGGGGCAGGTGGGTAGGTTTTCTAGAGACAGGATCATGCTTCATTCAACAGATAGCATGACTCAGAACAGGGAAGGACAGCCTGGGGTCACACAGCAAATCTGAGTCAGAGGCTAAGGCTGCAATGTCTCTGAGACTGTGGGGAGGGGGACAGCTAAGAAAGCTGCTAAAAATCCCTACTATACATTCCCATTCCTTCCCAGCAAAATACACAGCCGTCACTCTCTCATTAGAAGCCTCATTGCCTTGGTGAGCCCCTCCTTCAGATTTAAATTAATTCCTTACATTTATTTTGTGTATGTACACAATGGGAGAGGGCACGTGGGTGCCACTTTTAGCCCTGGAAGTCAGAGGACAACTTGCAGGGGTTGGTTCTCTTCTTACACCGTGTGGTCTTTGGGATCATGGTCACGCTTGGCGCAAGTGCCTTTATCCACTGAGCCATCTCGTTCCCATATACCACTTTCCTTTCTCTTATTTGACGGCTCTAGCTCTGACTCTCCCCATCTGTATAATGGTCTCCAGGTGTCGAGCTGTCAAGAAGACCGTGGGATTCTGTAGCTTGGGACCGAGGAAGGGAGCGGAGCTGGGAGCCTCGTAGGGTGCAGCGCTTCGGAACGCGCTACTTGCTGCGCCGAGTCTGTGTTGGGCGGGGAGGGGCGGGGTCGCACTCTGGGAGCGTGTCTGGGGCGTGGCCATGGGCGTAGCCTCTGTGGCCCCGCCCCCGGACGTCGCGGGGAGGGCGGGGGAGGAGCGCGGCGGGCGCGCGCCGCCTGGCCCGGCGGAAAGTTTTCCTGGAGGAGTTTTGGCGGCGGCGGCGGTGGTGACCGGAGCGGGCCATGGACGCGCTCAAGTCGGCGGGGCGCGCGCTGATCCGGAGCCCCAGTCTGGCCAAGCAGAGCTGGGTGGGCGGCCGGCACCGCAGTGAGTGTGTGTGCCCCGGGTCGGGCCTCCGCGGAGCTCGGGGCCAAGGTGGACCGGGCGGCCTCGTCCCGACCCGAGCGGCCGGGCCCCGGGGATCATGTCCGGCTGCGTCTGGGGAGGGTCGGCGGGGAACGGGCTGAACTCCGGGTCCCCAGGTGAGGCGCGGTGAGGACTCCTAGAGCCTCTCCACCCGTTCCAGCCCAACCCACGGGGTCGCCTCTAGATGACCCGCAGGTCTCGGCTCTGAGGAGCGAGCTCAGCCCGGTGCCACCCGAGGTCCTCTCGCCCTCCCCTCTGGACGCGTTCAGGTGGCGAGGCTGGCGTCCAAGCTATTTTCAAACCCTGTTTTCCCTCGTACCTTCCCTTGGGGGCTGCCCAAGTCCCTGGGTACCTAGGCAAAAGGCAGACTGTGACTAGCTGCCACTTCTCCCGGGTGTCTGGAAGAGCGGAGAGGAGCCTTCCCCAGTCACCTCTCGGGTTACTCTCTGGGAGCCGTCACCTGGCACCCTCCCCTGAGGCCTGAGAAACCTAGCTCAGGTCCCTCCCTTTTGGGGAGTCGTTTATAGGGGATCACCCGAGCCTTTCCTTCTAGATATGAAGCCTAGGCGCCTGGACTCCGGCATAGTCTCACCTGCCACCCACCTGGGGTTCACTGGCAGTACCCCTCCCTCCGCTCCCAGCTTCTTGCCAGCACCTTGCCTTGCCTGGCTCCACCAGGGGAGCCCGAGTTCCCTGGTCCCTGGAGCGCCAGCGTGTCTGGGCCTAGGGAGCCCGCCCTGCCCCTCCTCTCTCCCACTGTGGTGTTCCAGCTGTGGGTTCCTCCTAGCCCTGACTGGCATTGGGAATGTGTGCTGGTGCCTGCTGGTGGGGGTGGGGTCAGGGGCCCCTGGGGCAGGGCATGTACCATCTTCCACACTTGCTGACTCCCAAAATAGCCCTTCAAAAATTCGTGGGATGTGACCAGGACTTTTGAACGTGACCTTCCCTTCCAGTGGATGAACCCTGTGGTTTTCTCCTGGGACAAGGGGAAGAAGGGTGGGTGAGGAGGAGGTCCGAAGAGGAGGGAGCCAGGAAGCAGAGATGAATGTGGAGGACCAGGGTGCATTTTGGATGGCGAGGTTTCCCTGTCATCTCCACTCTAAGGCAGAGATCACTTACTCCGTCTTGATGATTTTGGTTTCCCAGCATGCAAAGTGGGGATAAGATCCCCCTGGGGCTGGGGATGTGTGTGGTGTGTAGGTGCTTGCCTAGCTTTCAGGAAGTCTTTGATCCTAAATTCTTGGTTCTGTCGTCAGCACTTCACAGATTGTTTGGTAGCGGCTCTAGTCTGTAATCCCAGCCTTAGGGAGGTGGAATCCTGGGGCGGGGAGAGAGGGGCTTGCGCAGGGGTGGGGGTGGGGGGAATCAGAAGTACACTGTCATGCTGTGCCAAAGAGTGAGTCCAGCCTGGGCTAGACGTTAGTTAAACTGGTGCTAGTGTATTTTCCCAGGTTGTAGTCCAGGCTGGCCTGGAACTTGCTGTGTAGACCAGGTGGGCTTTGTGCCTCTGCCACCCCCCAGTGCTGGGATTAAAGGTACACATCACCATTCCTTGTCCTCCTGGCTAAACCTAGTTCTTAACCCGCTTTGGCCAGCTCTGACTGAGTTGGGAGTGGCAGCCTGTCTGGACCCTGGAGGGACTCTGAGCTCTCTCTTCTCCCCTCCCTGCACCTCTCAAAGCTCTGTACTTAGAATGAGCTCCTCAGAAGCCTGGCCTGTCTTTGGTTAAGTGTCAAATTCATAATCTTAGTTTACCAAGAAGAGTATTACTTGCCTGGGACTCTTGTGGGAGTGTCTGTGTTTTACTTACCTGGGGGTGGTTTTGATGAAGGCAGCTCCTGCTTTTGTGTCTGGTGTTTGTGACTTCTGTTAGGTCATTAGCTCCTGGGAGGTGTCAAAGCTTGCTTATCTTCAGACCCATTTTAGAGATAACGGACAGGGAAGTCCACCCACAGCTCCAGGCACGGAGAGGCAGAGCTTCCTCAGCCCTGGGATTTTAGTCACATGCTTTGGGTTTTTCTGGCTGTTGGGGAGCTAGGGAGCCCCACTCTGGGTTTGGCTGGCTGCCCCCAGGACCAGTGTGGACATAGGTTAGAGGGGACCTACGTGAGAGGTTGGGACCTACTCAGCCAGTCCTTGGGTCTAGCTTTCATGATCAAAGGCCAGAGCCTGTTGGATGGGAAAAGGAACTTGCTCTCAAGCCTGAGGACCCACGTTCAATCCCTGGGCCCCTGGTGGTGGGAGGAGAAAACTGATTGCCAAAGGTTGCCCTCTGACCTCCACACGTGCACCCTGGTACATGGGCTTCTCTCCCCCACATGCCTACTAAGTGTGGGGGGAAAAAAAGAAAAGAAAAAAGCTCAGAGGGCAGAGCCACCGCCTGACCTGGAAAGAGGATTCCCTCCTTCTCAGGGCCACTTTCTCCTTCTCTCTGGGAACCATAAAGATCATATCTCAGCACCTGACCCAGAATCAGGATCTCTTCCCCAGCTCAGTGGCTTCCTAAAGGTCCTGGGGTCACTTTGACCCTCAGATTCCTGTATGGGTAGTGCTAGCCTGTCAGAGAACCCAAAGCAAATGATAAAAAAAAAATAAATAAGGTGTCTGTTCCAGTAAAGGTAATTCATGACTCTCTATGGGGCCTATTCATATTTCTGTATAGGATTCTAAATACTGCTGGGCATAGTTCTTTAATCCACACCTTAACCCCAGCACTGGGGAGGCAGAGGCAAGTGGATCTCTGAGTTCCAGGACAGCCTAGTTTATAAGCCAATTGCAGGACAGCCAGAGCCACATAATGGAGAGAACTTGTCTCAAAAAAACCAAACCAAACCAAACCAGAATGTGACAACAGTAGGGCACAGTGGGTCTGAGTGTGTCTCCTGGTGGTGTGTACTGTGATGGTTCTCACTTCTGGCGGAGGAAGAGACAGAGGGAGAAGGCCGCAGATAGTCAGTGAGGCTAGAACAGAATGCTAGAAAAAAGATAAAACAATAGAGGGGCAGCTTTTTCAGATAGGGTGGAGATTGTGTTATTCTAGCCGTAGCCGCTGAGACATGGGTCCAAGTGCAGATTCTCTGGGAGGATTTCCCAGGAAGTATGGTGAGGATAGCTGAGATGGTAAATCAGCCCCCATAGTGGACGGAGGGGCAGCCCCTGGGCCTTAATTCCGAGGTCCCTCGAAGTAGAATTAGCGCTATGCTGTCTTGGTTCTGAATGGCAATGGCTTGAGCAAGACCCATTGGATTCGTGACAGGAGGATCTTGCAGATGGAGACCAGGGCCCTCCAGTTTGTGAGGCACCCCAGGCGCTGGGTACCACTAACAGCCAGGCTGTAGGCAGAGTGGCAGGCGCTGGCGTCTGGTGTCAGAAAGTGGTGTTCGTAGAGGGGATCAGAGTAGTAGGTCCTAGCAGCCACCTCTCTTAAGAAGCTGGCCTGGAAAATCCAGGTGAGTCCAGGGAGGGACGTGGAAAGGGGATTTAGCTAGTGGACTAGCAGGTCTGAGGGACATTGAACTGGAGGCTCCTCGTAATCTGATTTCTGAGGGAGGGGCAGGATGTTTGAGGAGACAGGTCACCCACTGTTGACAGAGGTCAGACACTCTCTTTGGGTGCCGAGGCATGTGTCAGTCACCCCTGCCTTGCATTGGAGGGGCTTGGTGGTTGCAGGATGGGGTGTGGGACCCGAGTCTCCGGGTTGTCACTTAGGATTTGTATTTCTTGCCTGTGGCGCTGTGACATACTGATCTCATAAAACGCAGTAAGCTGTCACAGGTGCGTGGAAGCTCTTTGCACCTGATGGGTGGCGGTGGCAGTGGCTGGTTCTCACAGGGCTCCAGGTGTGGTTTCAGCAGGGTCACGTGGGAGCTCATCTGGCCTCATGACAGCCCCATGGAGTGGGTACTGTTACCTGTTTCCAAGTAAAGAAACTGAGGCGCAGGAAGGTTGAGGGACTGACGAGCCTTTCGTTGCCCTTATTTTTTCTTCTAGTGTAGGTAGGAGGGAGCTCTGACTGAGGTAGCCATCACTTCATTATTCACCTTTGAGAATGATCTCAGTGGTTTTAGTTTTTGAAATTGGCTTAGTCTTTGTTTTGTTTTAGTTTTATTTTGAGACAGGGTTTCTCTGTGAAGTCCTGACTGTCCTGGAACCTCCTCCGTAGACCAGGCTGGCCTCAACTCGCATCTACCTGCCTCTGCCTCCTGAGTGCTGGATTAAAGGGTGCACTGCCACAATGCCTGGTTCTTAGTCTGTTCACATTCTGAAACTTTTGCCCTGAAAGTCCTGAAAGACCCACTGGGTTTGTCGAAGGTTGTCATGTTCCTGCAGGGCAGAGTTTAGGTCCCCTCCTAGGACATCCTTCCTACTCCCAAGTCACCCTCACCAGGCTTGGGAACCAGACTGGGTCCCTGGGCAGAGGCTTGTCTTCACTGTACCTGTGGGTTGGCTGCAACTGTGGTGTTCAGACACCACCCAGCCAGGTCCCAGCTATGGGGGTCAGGGCAGAACGCCCAAGTAGCCCTAACCCTTCTTGGGGCCCTTACCAGGAAGCAGCATGTGGTGGGAGCTGAAGCTAGCCTGGACTTGCGGTCCTGTCCCGAGCTAACTCCCATAGCAGGCCATCTGTAAAATCATAAAATGAAAATAGCGTAGTCATTACCCACCACAGGGCTGAAAATAACTCGGACTGGAGTAAGGCACAGGCCTGTATTTGCCCAGGGGCCTCTGGGAGCTCTGCTTGAGAAGGGGTGCGGCTCTGGCTCCTTGCTGTATGTGGTGTCTGGTGGTTGGAAACCATACTGGTCTGTCTGTTTGTCTCAATGCTCTTTCATGGGGAAGTTGTGGGTGCCAGAGGCCTCGAAGAACCTCAGTAAAGAGCACGTCACGTGTCCAGAAGCGCAGGCGAGGAGGCTGGCCTGCAAGGATAGGCAGGCAGAGGCGATGGGAGAAGCGCTCAGGGCAGGGGCCCTTCCAGCACCACAGCCTGGGGAGCAGACCTGAGGACAGGTCCTTTGAAGAGAGACAGGCAGCTGCTGTGTGAAAGCAGAGCCCTGCTCAAGGCAACAGCCATAGCCAGGATTGAGCAAGCCTGCAGATACCTGCCCCTGGACCTGGCCCTCAGCCTGCACCTTTGTCCGCCATATCTCATTATCTTACCCACAGCTCTGAACAGCCCTGTGAGCCTAGTGCAGTTGCTTTCTCTATTTTATCCTGATTTTGAGACAGTCTCGCTATGTAGCCCTAGCTGGCTTGGAGCTCATTATGTAGACAGACCAGGCTGTCCTCGAACCCGCAGAGATCCACCTATTGGGATTGGGGGCATGTGCCACCACAGCCACCCTTTATTTCTTAAGTATTTTTATTTTTTAATAGTGTGCATATGTGTGTATGAACATGAGTGCAGGTTCCTGCAGAGGCCAGCCTATGATGTCCCCCTCAGGCTGGACTTAGCAGCGTGTGTGAGCTTTCTAACCAAACCCGCCCCGCAGTGCGCCCAACCGCTGAGTCATCTCAGCCCCCATTTCGTCTTTATTTATTGTTTTCTTTTCTGAGACAGTCTTGTGTACGCCAGGCTGGCCTCTAACCGGCTGTGTAGCCGGGGATAATCTCTAACTTCTGATGCTCCTGCCTCTACTTCCCAGTGCCAGCATTATGGGTATGCTCCACTATACCTGGTTTGTGGGGTACTGGGGATGGAAACCAGGACGTCGTGCATGCGAAGCAAGCATTCCACCAACTAAACAACACCCCAAACTCCTTTCCCCCATTTTAGAGATGAGGAAATAGAGCTCTCACTCAGGGTCATTCAGAGTATCAAACGAAGGCCCTCACTCTTAGCCACTGGGCTGGCTTGCCTGCCTCTGATTAGGTGCCCTGGGAGACGGTGAATGTGTGGATCACTGTGTAGCTCTAGCAACGTAGACCAGGCTGGCCCCAAATCCACAGAGATTTGCCTGCCTCAGCTTCCTGAGTGCTGGGATTAAAGGTTTGTTTCTTCTACACAATCTCAAGGTGTGTTCTAGGCTAGCCTCTAATTTAGAATCCTGCCTCTTCCTGGGATTGCAGGTGGGTACTGCCATGCCTTGTTTGGAAAGAGCATTTTGGATATTGAGAGAGTAGATGTTGCAGTGTGGCGGGAGCTTGTGTAGGGAGATGTGTTGGGAGGTTGGGGGATGCTGCTTTCAAACAGCCCAGCTGTCACTGCGGGCACCTCCTCTCTCTGACTCACTGTGTCATCTTGAATAGGCCCTGCACCTCTCTGGGCTTCAGTTGGGTCAGCTGTTAAGCTACAGGCCTGGGCAGAGGGTCTCTGAGGCTGGGTCTGGTAGCCAGTGTAGAAGCTGGCAAGCAGTACTAGAGAGAAGGGTCAGGTCAGGGGAAGGAGGAAAGCAGAAAAATGTCAAGCATTTGGGGTCAAGGAGGAGAGAATGTTTTGACAGCAAAGAGAACACCAGTGACCTTGGCAAGCTTTGGCCCTTTGGAATGAAGTGAGCGGAAGTGGCTTTGGACCTGAGCCAGGGAAGGGCTGAGGCAGAGGAAATGGGAGAGTGGGACCCAGAGATAGGGGAAGGATGTGTGCCTTAAGGCACGGATGTATAATGAGAAGAGGTCACCCCTGATTGATTAGTTTTGCCTGCCTGAGGCCATAGTTGAGAAACAGGGAAGCACTGCTGACTATTAGCAACTATTAGCCTGCGTTGACTGTGCTAGCATCTCAGGTTGGAAATGGTGGGCTGGGTATCCAGGCCTGTGAAGTCCTTTGACTAAACTGAAGGCAGTTTTCCTTGGGGCAAGTCCTTCGAACTCCAGTTCCTCCGCCTGTTCCTCTGCTGTAGAATGGATATGAAAGACCTTCAAGGCCACTGTGCCTAATGAAGTGGCCGCACCGTGCTCATGCTGGGAATAGGGCCGCCAGCCTTGGTATCCTCCAGAGCAGGGAGTTGTTCTGGCGTCCTCATTGCCTGACCCAGGACTGGGGATACCATGGGGACTCTGCTTCCTTCTGGAGGACCTAATGGATGGGACGTCCTGTTGGACTTTAGGGTCGTCTTAGTTGGGGCTTAGGAGGCCTGCAGGGCATCGTGTCAAACATAGCTGGAGCTGAGGGTATTTAGGACATCTTTACACTCAAAAGATGAGTACCAGTTGTGTGTCCTCACAAGTCAGAGTCACCTGGGTCTGAGAGAAGGGGTCATACTTGCAGGTCCCTTCCTGTTCCCACCCACAGTGAGAGACAGCATTTCCACCTACAGTGAGAGGCAGCTTCTTGCTCAACACAGATCCCAAGCCATGAGCCATGGAACGAAGTGATAGCGTCACTGGAACTCAAGGCTCTGGGACATGGCCCGAGAAAGTAACAGGGAGTCTAGAGGGGTCAGGGGCATGGGGTGACAGGAGGGGCCCTAACAGGGCTGTGCACGCATCCCCAGTGACCTCACTGTCTTAAGTAAGCTTGGCCCCATTTCCCACTGTGTGATGGGTGCCCTTAACCTCAGCTCTAAGGAGGAACTGAGGAATGGGCAAACCTTCCCTGGGGTCTGCACTCCCTTTACCTCAGCACTCTTTCCTTCACAGGGACCAGGTGGGCCCCTTCCCAACTCTCCCCTGCCCTGGCTTTCACTCCACTCATCCGTCCTCCTTTCTGACGTTAGTGATGGCCAAGACATCTTGGAGGACCCTTCCCACGTGTCATGGCTGCAGCCCAATGGAGCCAGTGACATCACTTAACTCTAACCCTAGTCCCTTTCCTTGGGCCATTGTATCTTTGCTGGTCCTCATCCCCAGACTGCCCATCTCTTAAGCAAATGTGGTCTGGGATGCACCAGCTGGTGGGTGACTCTGCCTGTATTTATCGCGGTGGCTTTTGGCCCATACCTTCCATTCTTGAGCCTCAGTTTCCTTAATTGTAATGTGTGTCTTCTATTGCTATGAAGAGACCCCAGGACAATAACAACTCTTACAAAGAAAACATTTAATTGGGGCTCACTTACAGTTCTGAGGTTCAGTCCATTATCATCATGGAGGGGATATGCTGGCAGACGTGGTGCTGGAGAGGTAGCTCTTACATGTTGATTGCAGGCAACAGGAAGTAGACTAAGTGTCACACTGAGGAAAGAGACCTCAAAGCCCACCCCATAGTGACCTTTCTTCTAACAAGGTCACACCTACTTCAACAAGACCACGCCTCCTAATAGCACCACTCCCTTTGGGAGCCATTTTCCTTCAAACCACCATGATGTGGTAGTCCTCATCTTAAAGAGTCATACTGAGGACTCATTGAGGAGGAGGGACCATTTGCCCTCAGCCATTGAGTTGGGGCTCATGAGATGGCATAGCCAAGTCTCGACTCTAGACTGACTGACTGTGACTTGGTTTAACTTCCTGGACTTTGGAGTGGCTGTCTGCAGTGTGTGTGACAGGTTGTGCGTGCTCCTAAGGGTGGGCGGGGACAGTGTATGTGAAGCTGGCCAGGTTTTGGGTAGGCCGGGAGGTAATAGCTAAAGTAAGGATGGGGGTACCCCAGGGCCCTTTGTAGGTGTGCTGAGAAGGTGGGTGGCGAGAGCCAGGCCTGCTCAGCACACTGAGGGCTGTCTGTCCTGTGCTAGAGTTGCCAGAGAACTGGACGGACACTCGGGAGACACTGCTGGAGGGCATGGTTTTCAGCCTCAAGTACCTTGGCATGACGCTGGTGGAGCGGCCCAAGGGCGAGGAGCTGTCTGCAGCTGCTGTCAAGAGGATCGTGGCCACAGTGAGTGTCCAGGCAGCAGAGCAGGAGTCCGGGCCAGCTCTCCTGCCCCAGCTGCCCCGTCTCCAGGTGGGGTCTGTATAACATATGCTTGAGCCTGGCACACATTGGGTCTCCTGTGTCCAGCTCAGGCATTTGTGAAGATTGCCTTTGTATTTGCTGGGTCAGTTAGCATCCTCTGCAGGCTACCCTGGCCTTGACTGTTTCTAGCCTGGAGTCCCCACCTCAGGCTCCTGGTGACTCACTAGCTCCAAGGAGGGAAGGAAGTTGTTCCCCATTTACCGTGTTGTCACTGCTTGGCCCACCAAAGTGTCCTTCCTCTACCTCCGAGAGGATGTGAGCTCTTTAAGTCTATTCTCTGGGGTAGCTCAGGCCCTGGCATGTGGTGGAGTTGGGTCCCCAGGTTGTGGTGCTGGCCTGTGGCAATCTGTCTTGAATTCTTCCCAGTCCTTGGGCTAGTCCCTTCCCCTGGGAGTCCCCATCTTCCTGGACAGGGGGTATTGATCCCCTCCTATCAGGCCAGTGCTCACTGGGCAATAGGCTAGTGGGCAGCGGTTGTCCGTCTGTGCCTCAGGAGACTTGTCGTAGTGTGCTTAGCATTGACCAAAAATTAGGAAAGGGTTTGTTTGTCTTAAACTTGCATCACAGCCATCACTGAGAGAAGTCAGGGCGGAAACCCAGGCAGGGACTGAAGCAGAGACCTTGGAGGAATGAAATTTACTGGCTTGTTCCTCATGGCTTGCTCAGCTGGCTTTCTTATATCCAGGACCTTTTACACGGGGTAACACCACTTCCCAGGGGACCGGGCCCTCCCACATTACTCACCAGTCAAGGAAATGCCCCCACTAGACTTGTGAACAGGCCAGTCTGATGAGTCTCCCCCCTCTTCCCAGATGACAAAAGCTAGCCAGCACAAGGGTGCTGTTTGAGCATCCATTCCCCCCTCCTCCGTGGCACCTGCCAGTTGTCTGAGCTGAGGGGCCTTGAAACAGTGAGGTACAGGCCACCAGACAGGCACCTCTGACCCCTGTGTGCCTCTAGGCCAAGGCGAGCGGGAAGAAACTGCAGAAGGTAACTCTCAAGGTGTCGCCCCGGGGGATCATCCTGACAGACAGCCTCACCAGCCAGCTCATTGAGAATGTGTCCATTTACAGGTATGCTCAGCAGGGAGTGGCACCTGCTGCTCAGGGGTTGATTGGATTGTCTTGTCTGAATCTAGGCTCTACAGCTTTCTTTGTGGGGTCTGGGGAACCTCAGTTTCCCTCATTGGTAAAATGGGCTGGGGGCAGGTCCTGCTTCCCTGTGCTGTTAATGTAGTGCTCACAGGGAGGCTGTGATGGTGGGCACTGCTGTCCCCTAGCCGGCTGAAGCCGGCTCAGAGCCTGTGCTTGGTCATGTGCCAGGGAGTCAGGCTGGGGACGCACACCTGTGAAAGCTCCCTGTTCTCTCTGCCTTGAACAGTGCTCAGCCCTGAGCGTCTGACTCATTGTCCCTGAGAGGCGTCATGTAGGATCTGGAACAGAAATGGAGGTATTCCCTCTCTGTCCTAGGGGGCTTCAAGGCTACCCCACCTCTTCTCAGCTGGTCAGGGGTAGGAGTACAAAATAGGAGAAGCAACCCAAATCCATGTTAACTATGGGGAAACTTGAGGCCCAGAGAGAGAGAGAGTGGCTTAAGACTGTACCATGAGGTGGAGGCTGAACTGGGATTAAGACACCAACTGTCTCTCTTAGATCTGTCTGCCCAGGTCCCGAGCCAGGGCGTGGCAGGCACAGGTGTGCTGGAGTGCTTCCAGAGGCCCACGCTGATGCCTGTAAGCCACCATCCAGATTCTACCTGCCTTCTCTTAGCCAGCACTTCTAAGTGCCTGCCAGCCCCTGCCCTCTGAGCACTTCCCGTCTGGAAAGGAAGGAAGGGAAGACAGTGCTTCCCAAGAAGGCAGAGAAGGGGGTGTGTCGGGGAAGCCTGGGAAGACCTCCCGGTAGAGGTGGCTCCCTGCAGGATCTGGCTGATGTTATCCAGAAGCAAGGAATAGTTAGCAGGGATCCAGATGCCTAGGATAGAAAAAGCCCTTGGGAAAATGGCACCCTCATCTTCCCTCCTGGGGTTATCAGTGATGTTATTGAAACAATGTTCTGAAAGTTGGGACTGCTTTGGTGAGGCGTGAATCTGCTGAGCTGCACCCCTAGACAATAGCCCCTCCCCCAACTGTGAGTCTCAGGATAAACAGAGGTAGGGAGGGGTTAGATAAGACGTGAGAGACCTGGGGAGCTGAGGTTGTGGGCAGAGATCTGAAAGGCCACTGTTTGCAGCAGAGGAAGCTGGTAGTCTCCTCTGCACCCACGGGGGGCTCCTGGGCAGATCATCCACACATAGCCCTAGCTCCACCCCTAGCCACAGTTCCAGGTCAATTTGCTCTTGGTCCTGGTCCCTAGGGAGATGGTCCTGGGTATGATCTATTGTCTGGTTGGTGAAGGACGGTGGTAGGCAGGGCAGTGTCTCGCTTCTCCTTCCAGTTGATACAGACCCCTCAGGGTCGTGGTTGTGGCTCTCAGCAGCATCTATCACAGACCTCTGGCTCGGAGGTTAAACAAGAAAGACTCTGTAGGGCCCTTGGTGCACTGACTGGTGTGCAGTTGGGTCCAGATGTTCCTCTTAGGGCTGCGGCTCAGTGTAGGGTGGAAAGAAGAGGAAGGGACTTCCTTCCTTATCCCCATGTCCCCTGCCTGGCAAGGCCAGATCTGCAGAGGCTTACCCAGTGGAGATCAGGCAGTAGAGTCTCTGAGACCCAGCAGAATTTGTACATCCAGATGTGATGAGGTGCCGTGCAGGCCAGTGACATTTCTCGCCTGCTTTCCAGGATCTCCTACTGCACCGCAGACAAGATGCACGACAAGGTGTTCGCATACATCGCCCAGAGCCAGCACAGCGAGAGCCTGGAGTGCCACGCCTTCCTCTGCACCAAGCGGAAAGTGGTCAGTGGGGGCACCAGGCCCAGAGGGGACAGGCTCAGGGACTTAAAAACAGGAGGAAATCCCCAGGAATCCCAAGTGGGTGTCAGAATCCAGAGGGCACTGCGAGGGTTGGAGTCGGCCAGCCTGGCTGGACCATCTGGCTTTGGGCAGTGAGCAGCCCATGTCCCCTGGAAGTGCCTGGGCATATTCCTCTTGGGATTGTTATTGCTCGGGTTTGAGGTTGTGACCCTCTTGTTGTTAGTACAGTCTGGGGTGCAGGCCTTGTAGGGATTAGCTTTTGGAGATGGGAAGCCAGAGGGACCCGGTGCAAGGTAAAAGTGAGACTTCTCTAGACTGGGCTTCCTGGGGTCGGGCAGAGGCAAATGGCTCCTTTGCAACCCCCTCTGTGCCCATTTTGGAGCTGGGCTTCAAAGTGCTTTCTTGTTTAGTCTCCAGGGCAGCCCTGTAAGGTGGAAATGTCTCTGTTGCCTTTCTTTAAGCCTTTTAATTACAATAAGGCACACCCCAGAAGCCAGCAGTCTTGCTCATAATGGCACAGCCAGCCAGGTGCAAAGTGAGGCTCAGAGCCCACAGTTCCTCTCCTCTGCACATCCGAGAGGCTGAGGGCTTCCTGTCCCTGACCCCTGGCAACATTTGTTGGGGCTGAGTGATGGAGGCATCTTGGTGGTCTTCAGCGTGTACTGGGAATGGGGAGGAGCTGGAGCTGTTCTGACTTGGTTGATGACACCTTGGTTTCTGGGGCCTTTGAGGATTGAGTGTGAGGAGGCCCCTGGTGTCAGCTGGCTCAGCATCCACATCTGCCTACGGCTCAGAGCCTAATCCCCAGGCTCCTGGGTCTCAGAGGAAGGAGATGAGACCTTTTTCTTCTCCATCAAAGGACACATCAGGAACTCCACGGTCTCTGGGGCAGCAGGAATAAATGATACAAACATAGTGACTCAAAACAGCACAGGTTCATCCAGTCCTGGGAAGCGGCAGGCTGGGATAGGCCAGGACTTACATCCTCAGCAGCCCAGGAAAGAGCCCTGTCTTTGCTTTCCTACCTCCTGAGTATTCACAGCCCACCTACAGATGCTCATGAACGCATCCTTTGTTTTCAGAGGCACCCGCGTGCCATCTTCCCGTATCGTGTCTGTCTTAGTCACTGTGAAGAGACATTGTGACCAAAGCAACCCTTATAAAAGGAACATTTAACTGGGGCCGGCTTACAGGTCAGAGGGTCAGGGCATTGTGACAAGGAGCATGGCAGCGTGCAGGCAGACACTGGGGCAGCAGTCGAGAGCTACATCCTGACAACATTGGGCCTCGTGTGGGCTTTTGAAACATCAAAGCCCACCCCAGTGACACACTTTCCCCAACAAGGCCACACCTCCAAAGTCTTCTAATCCTTCTCCAATAGTGCCAGTTCCTGGTATATATTCAAATATATGGGCCTACGAGGACCGTTCCTATTCCAGCCACCACAGTGTGTTCTTACTCTGCTGTTGTGGTGCCTCTCCCTTGTGGGTTCCTGTGGTGATAATGTCTGCTGGATCATCCAGATTTATCTCCACGTCTCAACACCCTTCCTCCCCCAATCTTCCTATGAGGCTGTGCTCAGGGCGTCCCAGAGAAGGGGAGCAGCTAGTGTGCTGTGTAACCATGGTGAACCCTGCCCTTCTCTGGTCTGCTTACATATCAGAGGTCACTTCATTGACCCCAGGGTCATTCCAAAGGCCCCATTTCCTCTGCATGCCTTATTTCCCTGCAGACTCCATGTTACCAGTCTGCTGGGGTCCTTCAGGGCTTCTCCCGTGACAGCCTGGATCCCACAGATGGCGGGAGACTTTGGGGCCACTTTGACCTAACACTGCAAAGTTACTGTGTTCTCACTGTTTGCTTCTTCCTCCTCACTGACCACACCAGGCAGGACTGCTGGCCCTAAGTTATTACTGCAGTGTGGGCACTGGTGGGAGGGGCATGCTCACGTGAAGCAGCTCTCTCTGGGATGGGGTTCTGTGCAGAACAGGGAGCAGGCCCAGCCATTCAGGAGACCTGGGCCAGAGGACTCTACACAGCCTGCCCCAGGTCAGAGGGCATTGCTGAGAAAAGCAGAGGCTCTCTACCCCGTGGCTGTGGCTAGTATAGCCTTGTGGGTGGAGGGTATGGCTCTTGCTGGACACCCAGCTGCTTGTTTATCTGTGTGCCTGGCTGTGGTCTGTCTCTCACCTATTTCCAGTTTTTGTCGCCCAGGGTTTCCAAGTTGCTCTGGGGTGGTATAGGTTCCTCCCAGGCCTTCAGGACCTTTGCTGGGCTCTAAAGCCATAGCTCGGTGGGTCAACACTGAAGGCTGTCCTGAATTGGCCTGAGATTCCCTGATTATCTGAGGGAGAAGCAGGGATGAGTTGGGGGCCTTGGCTCTGCTCCGCCTTCTGTCAACTGTCTCCAGTTTGTGGACAAGGCTCTGCAACCTACAATTCAAGCCTGCATAAGTCTGTGGGGGAAGGGCTGACTTTGGCTCTAGGGTGGAGGTTAGGGAGATGCCCAGAGACTGGAGACTTAAAGGATGAAAAGAGTGGTGAACACGAGTGTGCCAGGCTTAGGGACTAGTGTGCACAGCACAACTTGATATGGTGTGCTGGGCCTGGAGACTCAACATCAGGCATGGTCAGCCCACAGGACCCATGGTGCAAATGTGGCCCTCACTGAGTCTCCGCCTTTCCTTGCTGGCCAAGCGAGAAGCTTGGAGAAAGGGGTTCCTCCTGGGGTCCCCCACAGTGCAGCCAAGGGCTCCCTTTTCTGGTCTTGTTTGAGCATGATCAGAAGATCGCTGCAAAGAAGTGGTTCACTATGCTCATGTGAGAGGCCTCAGCTCAGCAAACAGCCTCTGTGATCAGACGTGGAGGAGGAGGAGTCTGGACTCCCCGTGTGGGCATAGGCCTGGACACCCCAGTTCTGTCGAGCAGAGGGGACAGGGCTATTTCCTCCATGTGGACCTTGGTGTTCTGGAGAAATCTTTGTGCAGAGGTTAATATGGGAACCAGGTGAGCGCTGGCGGGGCTGATGGTGAGCACAAGACTTAGTCTGAGCTGTGTACCTGGCCCGGGTGACCTACTGATATAGCCTGCTTAGGTGGAATGATTTAGGGACATGGACAGCTGGACCAAGAGGAAGCTTCTGGATCATAAGACAGCCTCCCAGCAGAAGTCCCAGGAGGACTGTGCAGTGGCCTGGGGGATGAAGGTCTTCCCACTGAGTGTTCCTGTGACTCATCCTGCTGGGGGTCCCTGGGGAAGCAGGCCACCCCCCAGGCCTGCCCAGCCCAGACCTGTAGGCACTTGCACGCATCACTTCAGATCTCGGCTCAGGTTACATGTTTATTATGACTTACTGTCCAGGACCCTAGGGCGCAGGAGCAGGAATTTGCACAGATGAACCAGATTTACGTAGACAGCATAAACCCCTGTCCGCAGGTTCCTGCAAGCAGACGCAATGGTGTTTCCATAGTCCTGCCGCATGGGTGACCAGCCCTTGCTCCAGAGTATGGTGGTCTGACTTGGCTGGTAATTAGCCCATATTTTTAGTTCATGGGCAATTCTCAGTGGTAACTGGGTCTATTAAACTTGATTCAGACGTGACAGCTTAAATTGTAAACAGCTGTGAAGACTTTCATACTTAATTACCATATTTAAGTTCCACCATAAAGCATCCTCACTTCCATCACAAATGTAAATGACGGAGACATTCAAATGAGATTTTTATACTTCGTGAAGTTTAATTGGCGCAGATCAGCCAGTTTGGAGATTTTGAAATTTTTTTAAAGGAGTTTTGAAGGCAGTGGCCCCGAATTTATTTCTCAGTTAAATCGAGTTGTCTGGTGGAGGCTACTTAAGCCTGAGCTTGTTCTACAGTTGAGTGTGGTTCTCTTCTCTGGGACTTGCACGCCAAGCTCCGGGCCGGTTATTCCAGGACTGGGGTAGCAGGATGTTGTAGGAGGTCTGTGTGACGGTTGGGACCCGTGACGCCATCGCTGCCTCCTGAGGGCGCTGTCTGAGCTGTGGTACCACTCTTGCTCGTAAAGGAAGCATGTGAGCTAGGGCTCTTCCATCAGCAGATTCCAGAGGGAGGTGAGCAGGGCTGTAGAGCCCTGTGCTGGTGACGGGAGAGAGGTGACGTGTGAAGTGGGAGCCAAGGCAGCTGCTCATAGGCTGGCTGCAGTGCTGGATGGCTTTTCTTCCCTACCATCACTAACATCTTGATTCTGCCACCTCCTGCCTTGCTGGGATGTCAGTTATCAGCTGTTGGCACCCTCAATGCCCTGTAACCCCTGAACAGTGTGGCCTCCATCTCTCTGCCTGTAGCTCACTCAAGCACAGCTTCCATTCCCTCAAGGACTGTGAGTGTAGGGAATCCTCGGCTAACCCAGGAGGGAGTTCCAGAAGTAGCTCTCACAGTTGGCTTAGAAATGCCTGAAAGGAAGGAAAAAAATAGAGGTGAACAGCCATTGGGGGTGGGCCTCATTGGCCCCCACTGCCATCCTAGCATGTGGCTTCATTATGCCCCAGGCTGCTGTGGGAAATGGAGGAGCTAGGCCCTTCCCTCCTCCCCCCCCCCTCCGGCCCTCCAGAGCCAGTCAAGGGGTGGGAGCCCCCAACCCTCCAGTTCATACTTGCTTTTGCTGCCTGACGCTGCACCCATCCCCACCCTCATTTCCTGTTTTTCAGGCACAAGCCGTCACCCTCACTGTAGCCCAGGCCTTCAAAGTTGCCTTTGAGTTTTGGCAGGTGTCCAAGGAAGGTGAGTCTTCCCTTCTGAGCTTTGTGAGTAATGTGAACAAGGGACGGGTAGAGGCCAGAAGTCAGACCTGATTGACCCCAGCCCCGTCCCCTGCTGGGCTTGTGATCTCTGAACAGGTTGTCTTACCTCCCTAAGCCTCAGTTTCCCCATCTGAGGCTTCTTCAGAGTGTTTGGGTTTCAGTGTCTGGAAGGTGTCTTTTCTCCTGGGGGAGCTTTCATACTGCCCTGAGTGCCCTCATTCTCCCCGGGGGCTTATGGAGACAGTGTCTACAAGGGCCCCAGCACGTTGTGCCTTGATCCCACAGAGAAAGAGAAGAGGGAAAAAGCCAACCAAGAAGGAGGAGACGTCTCAGGGACCCGATGTGACAGCGCCCCCTCATTGAAAAGCTGTGAGTCTTGGCACTGAGCTTGTCTCCCATCCAGGGCTCCCTCCTGACCTGTTGCTGCTTCCTTTTCTTCTGTTACATCAGCAATACCAATGCCTTGTAGGTAGCTAAGAGGGTACTGTTCAGATGCACACACTAACCCAGGCATGTCCCTGCAGACACGTATACATGTGTGTGTGTGCACACCTGTCTGCTTTGCAGCCTGTTAGATATCCCAGTCTACCTGGTGTGTGCGCCACCCCTGCCTGGCCACGTGGTGCACTTTTAAACTTATGTTATGAACATGCAGGCTCCAGGGTCTACCCTCAGGAGCCACAGGGTCTCACCTGTGGACAACTGTCCTGTAGCTGGGGGTCGGGGAAGGTGTCAGAATGGGGCTCCATGTGATCAAGGTCCATCCTGCATCTGGACCAGGCCAGAGTCCCAGAGCTCCTTGGGAATGGTATAGTACCAGGGTACCGGAATGTGAGTGTGGAAGAGGCTAGAGATGATGTTCATCCTCCTCCTGATGCCCCCAACTGACCCCTCCCCCCTAGTGGTTGTCACGGGGAACCTGCTGGATTTGGAAGAGGTGGCTAAGGCCCCGTTATCCACGGTTACCACTAATACCAACAACTTGGATGAGACAGCGCGGCCTCAAGTCTTGGGCAGCAACAGTGTTGTCTGGGTGAGTAGTTTGTGGCCTGCATGGTTTTGGGATCTGGTGAGCATTAGCCAGGTCTCTGAACAAGCCTGAAGTGGTTCCCAGACCCAGGCCCTGGCTCCGTGATTTATGGGAAGGACCAGACGCAGCCCAACAGGCCCTGGGTGGAGTAGCTGAACAATGTCCTCTCTGAACGCAAGGTTGTGTCCCCAGCAGGCCTGGTTCCCAGCACGGCCATCTCCTCACGATACTCAGTCTGAATCTGGGTGTCTGTACTGTTCCCTCTCTGTCAGCAAAGGCTCCCTTGTTCTGGGCATAGCAGGTTTGTGCCTGGCACCCCTCCTTCTCAGTTGTCTGAATTCGCAGCCAGGCTGCGGGCTCTCAGGACTCATGGCCAGTGCCTGACCTCTGTCAGCCTTTTCGCTCCCTCAGCGGTGAGCTAACCTTCCACGCATCTCCCAGAGGAACCTGAATGGCCGTTAATTTCAATTTTCATTTGGAGGTAGTTGGCTTCAAACTGTTATTACAGAAATAGCACCAAGTATTCCAGTGCCTAGAGACACTTTATATCAGTGCGTGAGAATGACCAATGGGACCACGCTCCAGCGTCAGCAGAAGCCGTCAGTGCTTGTCATAGCTCATTCCTTTCTTTTTCTTTTTTTTTTTGGGTGGTGGTGGTGGTGGTTTTTTTGTGTATTTTTTTATTTTATTTTTTTTTTTGAGACAGGTTTTTCTGTGTTGCCCTGGCAGTCTTAGAACTCACTCTGTAGCCCAGGGCTGTCCTTGAACTCAGAGATCTACCTGCCTCTCTGTGTCTTTTTTTAATTTTAATTCCCTCAAGGAAGACACTGACCTTCTATGGCATCCTCCTGCCTCAGCCTCCCAAGTATCTCAGGCACCCCAAGCCTGTCCCACCAGGCCAGTTTATCTCTTCACATGATGGTACTCCTGACAATTGTCAGCTCACCTGTCGGTTGGGAACAACTTGGGTATCCCTTGTACCTGTCCGTTGCTGTCATTTGTCATATGTCCTAAAGGCTTTGGAGGGTTTCACATAGCACTTAGCCCCTAAGGCTGAGAGGTTCTAGCATCAGTTATCCTGAAGTAGCACAGGACTGTGACTGGCGTTGGGCACGACGGAGGTGCAGGCAAGGGTTCTCTGTGACTTATCTGGGTCACGGAAGGTTCAGACATGCCTGTTCCTTTTCTTTCTTTTTTAGGGATGGGGTGGGATTGGGGGTTCAGAGACAGGGTTTCTCTATGTAGCCCTGGCTGTCCTAGAACTTGCTCTGTAGACCAGGCTGGCCTTGAACTCAGATTCGCCTCCCAAGTACTAAGATTGAAGATATATGGTACTACTGCCTAGCTGAGACACACCTTTTCTTGTCCTGCGCCCCAGCCTTGGGTCCATGGGCATGATGCTTGCCTTCGCTAGTTTCCCTAGGCACCCCCTCCTGGGTCCCTGGAGCTCTTTTGGGGAACATGGACCACTCAGAAGTTCTTACTTCTTGCTTTGTTTCTAAGGAGCTGGATGATGGCCTGGATGAAGCATTTTCAAGGTAATACTTTGAGGGCCTGTGCTGGGGATGTGGGCCTCGGGCGACCTGGCTTTGCCCTCAGGTCTCTGTCCTGACTGAGAACTCGAGTGCCCTAGCCATCTACACTGCCGTTCTCGAGTTCTTCCAGCGACAGGGAACTTATTACGTAGGATGTCTCGTATGTGAGAATGCTTTTGGGGTTCAGTCAAAATGCAGGCTCAGCCTGTCATTTTGTAGCGTGTCATAAAGGCAGCTGGCGAGGACTGGACCACTGGGGTTCCTAGTACTGAGTCTAGACCCTCAGGCCTCCCTCCACCCCTTTGGATATACAGCCCCTTCAGAGGCTTCCTGCTTAGGGTTAGCACCTGCCATTTCCCTACCAGCTCCTGTTGTAGCCAGGGACTGACCAGCAGGTGAGACCCTTCCCAAGGAAACAGCCTTTTCCCCCACCTTCCCTGCTTCAGTGACCAATTCCACCCACATTTGAAAAACAGTTTCATCTGCTTTTCCAGAATGTTCAGTTGTCACGGGTCCTTTTTAGCAATCTCAAACCTCTGTGTGGCATAATCCCAGGCCGGCCCCATGTCTGCTGATTCTGCCCACGAGCACAGCAGCTTGTATCCATCAGCGCACAGCTGTGGCCCTGGGACTCTGCATTTTTCTCAGTGCTGTCAGAGGCTTCCCTCCAGGCGTTCACACAGCCCAGGAACCCCTCCTGAGGGCAGGGTTGCCAGGTACTGACCCTCTTTGGCACCCTGTTGTCAGGGGGCACTAGCTCCCCTGCTGAGCTTTGAGTCTGGCTATTTTCCCACTCACGTCCCTTCAGGCCTTCTGTCCCCATGCTGGCCAGGCTCTCCCTGTTGCTTAACCCCTGCCAGCCTCCCACCTCTTGCTTGGCTCACACAGCTCTGCCTTCCAGGCTGGCACAGTCACGGACGAACCCTCAGGTCCTGGACACTGGACTGTCAGCACAGGACATCCACTACGCACAGTGCTTATCGCCCACTGACTGGGACAAGCCCGACAGCAGCGGCATCGATCAAGATGACCTCTTCACCTTCTGAGGGCCTAGGACTGGCAGGACACAGCTGGCCTTGACATGTGATGGACCAGAAGCCACCTGCAGCAGGCAGCCATCTCCAGGAGCCGTCAGCCACTCTGCAGAGCTTGCAGAGGAGAGCTGCAGTCAGGCAGGGAGAGACGGTGGAAAGAGCCTGGAATTCCCAGGTTTGCATCAGGCACTCGTGGTGTGTGCAGGCCAGGGCCTGGCCTCCTGGCCTGTGACCAAAGCATTCCATGATCCTTTTCTCGGGGCACTCACTCCTCAGGCAGTGAGAGCCTACTGTTCCTTGTGCACTGGAGGGGACATGGCCTTCAGGGAAGCTTCTTCGGGGCTCTGAGAGGCAACCCCTGACCAAAGACACATAGCTCTGCACTTTAACTCTCACAGGTGGACATGGTTTGAGGTCGTCGATGGTGCTGTGGGAGAAGCGCTCGCCTCCTGCCTCCCTCCACAAGAGGGCACAGTCCCTGAGGTGGTCTGTATAGTGCTAGGACCTAGTGTACCGGCTGCCCAGACTCCCAGAGTCTCATGGTAACCTGGGGAACATCTCTGCGTGGCTCTCAGGGCGTCCCCAACAGGCGAAGCTGGGCCTGTTCTTCTGTTTTGTCTGTGTGTCCTGTGTGTGTCCCCATCTTCTGCCTCCTCATAACCGTGGAATGATACCAAAGCCTAACACTAGGTTGTGGCAGAATATTTCTCATCCATTTTACAGATAAGGAAACTGAGGCAACACATGTGGTGGGGTTGGAGTTGAGAATAGAACCCAGGTCTGACACCAAAGCTTCTGTCTGTGCTGCCGGCCTCTCACAGCCCACGCCTCCTTTCTCTCTAGTTTTGTTGTCCTCCCAGGAACCAAAAAGCCCCAGCTATTTTCTGACCAAAATGTGTTTCATAACAAACCATCTGGTGCCTTTCCACACAGCACTGGCGCAGGCCTCCTTGCCCTGCTAGCTGCCACGCTGCTGACTTCCGGGAAGATGTGTTTTGAAGTGTGTCAATTCCATGGGTTAAATGGAATCCTCCAGAAGCATCTCGTTGTCCTTTCCTGATGCTGCAGCCCCAGTGGTCTCTGCACCCAGCTGGTGGTCGAGCAGTCCAGTGGTGAGCTGTCCATAGTCTCACTGCTCCCATGGCTCTGGCATCCTGAACCTCAGCCAAGCCACAAGCATCTTTGCATGGCTAGGAGCCCCCAGTGGCTGGGCTTGTGAGAGCAGGAGAAACACACCAACCAGCATGACTTAGACTTACTGAGTGGCTGAGTCAGACCCTTGCCTTGGGGAAGGGACTTGGGGAACCCTCCTTAGAATCAGGGTAGCTCCCTTTCCCCAGCCAGCTCCAGGGTCCTGAGCATGAGGGGCTGCCATGGTGTGGGTGGTGCTGCGGTCTTGAAAAGCTGTCCACTGCTGCAAGGCTGTCTGAGGAAGAACAGTTAAATGTTTCCTTTTTAAAAAGAGTAAAAGCACCACTCGGTATTGCTGGTGACAAGGGGCAGTGTCGTAGCTCCTGCCCTTTGGTGATATGAGAGGCAGTTGTCGAGAGCCTGGGGGAGGCCACAGCCCTTGCAGCACCAGAGTGGAGGGTGATGGCAGGATCCCCGTTGATGAGCCAGTGGGCTCCTTTCTTTGTGGCTGTCACCGTGTGACAGGGTACTGATGAGTGACAGGGTCTATGTGTTGACACTGACAGTGTTTCTAGCCAGACTCTGAGCCCCTGAGACATGAGTGTGTGAGGTGTGGGTGTGCCCGTGTGCACCCTTCCCGGGACAGTATCGGTCCCACAACTCCCATGACTCAGACTTGCAGACTTATCTGTTACTCCTGTTCAGGTCCTGAGCTCGGTGCCTTGGATGAGCCTGACACATGTGGATTCAGCTTGTGTGGTTTTGTGTGATGGGGACAGAGGTGGAGGATAGGGGTTCAGTGATTTTTAGAAACCCAAAGTCCAGCTATGGCCCTGCGTTAGTTACTTGCTTGCTTGAGCCTTGGTTTTCCTGTTTGTAAGCAGGGTACAGCAATCTCCCATGTCTGTGTCCCAGGATTTTGAGACTGTTGTCCACTATGACGTTATTGGTAGCTCATGCCTCCGATAGCTCACAGGTTATCTCTGAGCAAGAGGTCATTTGGATCGAATGTGTAAAGTCCCAGTGGACTCGGACAGAGTACTTCCTGTGTGCCGGCTGTCATGACAAAAGTCATGGAGAGCCCAGATGTCTTCAATTCCTACTGCTGAGGGCTCCGAGCTTAGCTAGAAAGGTGGCCCTGTCTTGGGCACCTGGTGAGGCCACAGCCCCTTCGCATATCCCTGACCCTCATCCTGTCATGTAGGGATTTCCCAAGAGCTGGCTATGATCCAAGTGCTCAACACTCCTGCCCAGTTTCAGTGACCATTCCAGCAAGGCTGCATTCCTCAAGTTCCTTGGCCTTGTGTCTGGGGACTCCCCAGCCACTGCTCCTTCCTGTAGCTTGTGGGGGTCTCAGGCATTTATGCAATAGTCCTATTTCGTGTCCAGGGGCAGCCTTCTGATGCCAGCCAACGAGCAGACTCCCTGCGAGGCCCAAGTGGATCAGAGCAGACTAAAGAATTCTTTCTTATTTGCCCCATAATTTGAAAAGACACTCAACAAGCTCATCTTTCGGTTTAAATTTGGCCAACGCCTTTAGTCTCCGGATGTCTCAAATTACAGATCCCGAGCCCAGCTGCCTGCTCTTTCATGCATAACAGATAAAATGAAAGAACAAAGCCACCTTTCAAATTTGACATGACCTTCAGCTCCTCTGGGTAGACGTTGGGTTGGCTCTCCAGAAGCCATCACAGTTAAACCTCACGAGGGCTTTTTCAGCGTCTGTGCCTGGGACACAGGATTGAGCCTGGCCTTGCTCCATCTTCCCCTGTGCAGCGGTCAGGGTCCTTGTGCCCAACCTCAGCATTATCAGTCTGCCTTGGCACAGTAGGAGGGGGGTAGGTGGTCTTAGAAGTAAAAAACAAAAAAACAAAAAACGGAAACTTTCATTTATTCTTTGACAGTTTCATACACGTAAGCATCATCTTGGTCCTGTGTACCTTGCTCCCTCTGCTCCCCCCCCCCCCCAACTCCAGCATCTTCTTTTCCTCTTTAATGCTTTGTAACCTGAGTCCAGTTATCCTGCCCGGTGAAGCGCTTGCTGGCCTCGTTGGCTTGCTCTAGTGCAGGTAACCACAGCTGCAGAGAGTTCTGGAATGTGTTGTCCATGTCCTGTAAAGGACAGCATTTCACAGCTCTCCCCTCCCCCACAGTGCCTAAAGGTCTGTGTGCTCCCTTCCCCGCAGTGTGCCCCTTGGGGAGGGTGTGAGAACAGTCTATGTCAACCCTTCTGTAATCCGCCCTGTTTAGGACTGAGCACCCACCAGGCCCCGTCTCAGCTTTGACCCATTGAGTCTCTTTATTAACTCCTGGCCACTGTCGAGAAGCCACCTAGCCAGGGTTAAGGACAACCCTGACCTATAGGTATAAACATAGGTGGTATAGGACATGTTGCTGTGTCCTTCAGCAAAGTGATAGTAGTAGGTTCCCCCCCGGGCCTGTCACTGCCATAACCATGGGCTTTTGGCCAGGTTTGTGGTACCAGCCTGAATCCCTTCCTGTTGAGCAGGTCTAAATCCCCAAGTGGTTGGTTATCCCCATAACCTCATGCCGCTACTGCACCAGTGGACACACTGCATGGTAGGCCGGTGTTGTGGCATGCAGGGCTGAGTGCTGGGTTTCCTTCTCCCCGTGACTTGCATGGCTCCTTCCTGTACTGAGAGCTAGTCAACAAGGAGGGAGCTTTTGGAAAGTTCAATTTGATTTCTGTGTTATATAGCCAAAGTGTGTCTTATGCAGTGGAATCTCTGGGGCCTGTCTGACCAGTGAACTGTAGGGAGGTATCCCATGTAGTCTCGCTTCTTAGGTCGGGTACAGGAAAGATGCAAGCTGATTTGAGGCTCACATTCAGGAAGAGGCTAAGTCAGGGATTTGAACCCCAGGCTGTCTGAACCCAACACTTGTGCTGCAGCACCAGCAGTGGGCCTGACCGCACGGGCAGTATTGGCAGGTGCCAGCCACATAGATCTATCGGCTGGAGTCTCTTGACTTTCTAGCTGGTTGGCCCTCATGCTGCTGCTCTGGACATGCCCAACTCGGGATTCTGCAGATAGGCCCCATCTTTTCCCCGGTGACATCGTCCACTCTGCCAGCTTGAGAGTACTTACCACAGGAGGGTCACTGAGTCCGAGAGGGCTGGAAGGAAGGAACCCTTGACAGTGTTCGTGGTTTGAGCCACTGTAGTGACTAAGTGGTGCCTATGTGAGGTGAAGGCACTGAGGCCCATAGAGATTCTACAGGCCTGAGACCCAGATCCTCTGTTCACTGTCCTGGAGTAACCCCGTATCTGCAGGTCACTGGAACGCTCTGAGAACATGGCCTTGCTTGCTGGGAGCTCCTGAGGCCAGCTCAGAAGAACAGCCTTGACCAAATGCCAGCACAGCATTGCTGGGGCAGCTGGGAGCTCCCAGCCAGGACAGGTGTGGGCTGGGACACAAGGTCATGCTGCTGGGCAACTGTGTCTGCACGTGTCTGCTGGTCACCAGCTTGGCCTTGTCTCTGGGTGACGAAAGGCCTCTGCTCTTGATCCTTCATAGTCCAAGGGGTATGGTTCCCAGCAGTCCTGGGTCATGCTGGCCTACACGAGTGAGACATTGGAGAATTGAGGGGTGTTGCAGGGAATGCCAGATGGGCTGCTGAGTGAAGGGAGTGTCCTGGACCTCAGAAGGAGTAGGAAGGTTGGGATACCTTCGATGGCTTGGTAGCTTTGATGTTCAGGCTGTGTCTGAGTCACTCCATGGCCAGGTGCCCAGGCACTATCTGGCTCCATGTGGCTGTGGCTGAACCATGGCAGAAGGGGGTGGACCCAGTCTAAGTTTCTGAGAAACTGGGCAGCCCCAGGTCAGGGGCAGTCCAGCGGTTTGTTGGTCACCAAGGTTCTGGTCCCACGGACGCCCCTGCAGGCCCTGGTTGAGGGTGCCCTTTGTCTTCATTGCTCCCAGCCAGCAGCCCTGCAACCCTCCCTGGGCCACGTTGCTGAAACTGGGGTCTAACGCTATATCCTGACCAAAGATCTTGCTTTCCAAAGTGTTTTCAAATAAAGGTTCTAGAATCTGAGTGTGTGGTATGTGTGCAGACACAAGTGTGTCACAATGCGTGTGTGGGGGTCAGGGAACAACTTTGTAGTGTGGTCTCTCTCTGCCTTTGTGTAGGGTCCAGGGGTTGAAGTGATGCCATTGAACTTCACAAGAAGCACTTTTATCTGCTGAGCCATTTTGCTGCCCTTGCTAGATTTTTAGTGCCAGGGAGAACCACCTGCCTACCTCCTGATGACTGGTAGGGGCATGCGCACCACTATGCCAGCTACAGCTGTTCTGTTTTCTGTGGCTTTAGTACGTGGCTCCTGGGAGGACTGAGTCTGACGGCTGAAGCAGGGAGGCCCAGACCCCCAGACTGTGATCCTCAAGTGCAAAGTCTTAAAACCAGAGACTGCCACCCATTCCCCCACCCCTGGTTTCCATGGGGTAGAACCCTCACTTCCCAGTTGGGGAAGATCGGAATGTTTGGGCTCTGCCAATCCTAAGTGAGTCAGATTTCTGAATTTGATGGTCCACAGGAAAGCCGGGACTTCAGCAAAACCAACTGTGGTAAAACCAGTTAGGAGCCAAAGGATTCTGGGTTCGTCTATTCTACCCTTGTTCTGTGTTGTTTCTATAACCATCAATGGCTTGGTGTTCTCACCTGTAGAATGGGAACTCATCTCATACGTAAGTGTGGAGATCCTGCCCTCGGGCCCACCCTCTGCAGTGGGCACTGTTTCCATCTCACAGAAGAAGCTGAGGCCCAGAGAGGTGAAGGTACTTGGCTCGAGTCACTCAGCGGAACAGGGGCATGCAGCCTGAGAGATGCATCTCAAATCTGATGGTTGGCTGATGGGGGCATTTGATCAAGGGCGGCTGTCATTAGAGCTCAGAGAGATGAAGTGACACAGGCAGGAAAGGGTTAGTCTGAGAGGAAGGCCAGATGTGACTATGTGTCGCGTTCTCTCTGTTATGGCGCCTTTCCCACTCCTGTCAGCGTGTCCTCAGAAACGGACGGCATCCAGATTGGGAGGGACACAGAAAGGTCACCCCCGCCGGAAGACGGACAGGTCTAGGCGGTCCTCTTCGGATGTCTGTGTGGTTAGCAGAGCCCAGCTCTGGGCCAGGGGGTCTTGGGGCACCTGGTGTGGGGTGGAGAAAGCTGCATGGTACCCTCAGACAGGTATCAGGGGCCTGAGTGGAGAGACCAGACAGTGTGGGACAGGCTAGTGTTCATCATCCCTAGGAGCTGGGAGACTTTTCTGCCTATCACAGAGGACAGAAGGGAGGCTGTATGAGAGGAGTGCCCAGCCATGATGTCCTTGTGAGGGTAGTAGTCAGACCCAGACACTGAGTCACCCCCCCAAGCATCAGGGCCCCCTGAACCATACACTGCCGTAGCCTGAGTCAGGACCGAGCACATCCCGAGTGCCATTTTTATCGCTATAAGTTTGCCGATTCAGCTCATTACACTTAATTAGAATTATTTAATTAGAATCTTAATAAAAGAGTAAAACAGGAAGGAGGCTGGGAGCGGAGGTGAGGAGATCCGTGCCGAGCCTGTGAAGTAGACGCAGCTGGGGAAGTGCGGTGTGGAGGGGCTGCAAGGACCTGCTTGGAAGGTTGCACAGAGCGTCTGGAGCAGGTAGGGGGCCACGGAGGCACAGGAGCCTGACAGGGGATATGGGAGGCCCTGGACTGGTCATCATCTGTTCTTTACCAGGTGCCAAGCCCCTGGCTAGGGGAGTGGACATGTGGTGTGGGGCCCACTTCCTGTCATCCAGGGACACCCAGTCCACAGAATAGAAGACAGATGTTTGCACAGATGGCGTGGGAAGCAGAGTTGCTGGCACTCATGGTGAGGTACCTGACTGGCTGGGGTTCGCATGGTGATAGCTACACAGACCTGAATGCTGAGTTGTAGGTAGACAAGAGGGGAAGTGTGGATGAGGATGGCAGAGAACCTGCATCAAATAGGGAGGAGGGGCAGAACGCAGGAGAGGGTCACAGCTCAGACCTGGGGCCAGGAGGCTTATGTCCAGGCTCCAGAGTTACCTTAAGCTTTGTCACCTCCTTTTCCTCTCCTGGGGGTGAGGGTAACCACGGAATCCACCTCACGAGGCTCCTGCATGGAGAAGCTGAGCTAATATCTGTATAGCATGTGGGCTAGCACAGGGGGCGTGGCCAGGGCCAAGAGCAAAGGGTGGCATTCGTGTGCAGATGTCCCTTTAAGTGGTCAGTTCACAAGTCTGAAGCCCAGAGTCTGAAACTCAGAGGTGTCGGGATTCTGCAGCTGTCGGGGAGCCACCAAGCAGGTGTGACAGCATTGCTGCTACCTGACCCCTAAACTCATCTTTCCTCAGTCTTTGAAGAACCTGAGTGTGGTTCAAGGACAACTCAGTTTTTCAGGGCCCTGCAGGGGAAGCAGCCCACACCATGGCTCTAGGGCAGATCCTGCCGAGATCAAAGATCTGGCTGCATGGTCAGCACAGGGTCCCCCTGCCCCTCTCTCCTGGACACAGAGCAGTTGGTGGTCCATGCTTCCCTTTAGGAAGTCATGCTGCCCCTGGTGCGAATGTGCCCGCCGTAGCTTATTTCCTGCCCTAGATAGGAATCCCCCAAAATGCGGTAGGATGCCCGCAGTCAGTGCTTATAAACAAAGGGCAGCTGACATCAGGGCCTCCCTGATTGAAACCATCCTGGCTGGAGATCAGACATGAGAGAGCTTGGGGGTGTGTGTGTATGCCAGAAACCCACCTCCCTCAGGGTCTCACAGTTTCTGTTACTCAACAGCCAACCAAATGTACCCCACACATCACAGGGCCACAAAATAAGAGAAGACCCAGGGTTGCCCCGGACTGTCTGCTTAGGTACAGCTGGGCAAGGGAGAAGAAGCTGTGGGCTCAGCTGCCTCTGGAATTTGTCCCCGCGAGGGATCTGACTTTTGCGCTGGCTTTCCACAAACCACTCCGGCGGCAGAAAAAGACAGGAGAATTTTTAGCCCAGTTACATAAAGTGTTTCTCAGTCCCGGGCGCAGACTGGAGCTCTGTATTTGAGGGCTTGAGTTCTTCCCACCCCCCACCCTGGTGTCACAGAAGCAGCTTCTGTCTTCAGAATTCTCCTGGCCCCCACGGGCTGTGTGGACTCAGGTCCTCTGCCCTCCAAGGGACTGTCCCCTCTCAGATGGCCATGGGCCACCATTTAATTAGCAGATTAAATGTAATTTAATTAGCTCTTGTTTCATCACTCACTACGCTCTTCGGGCTGTTAGACTGTGTCCTTGCGTGTACAGTGGACTTTCCCTTCTGCCCGACTACTTCCTCCCTTTCCCCGATTTCCAGGCGACTTTCTTGATGGAAAACAGCGGAACTTACTGGACAGACACCAGCTTGCTCATGAAATCTCCTGGAAAAGCTGGCTCAAGGGGAAGGAGGACTTCAGAACTGTGGCTTCTGTTGCTGTAAGGAAATGGGGTACTCCCTGGGCATCCTGGCACAGTACTGCCCATGAACGAATCATCCCGACCATGGCCTGTGGCACTGGCATGTCCCACCCTGTGGCACCAGTGTGTTCCCTGACATGAGGGCAGGTTCGTGAGTGACGGAGGTGGAGATAGGCCTGCTTCTGACTGGCTGGGACCAATATTAGCTTTTCACTTAAGACAGATGTACCTCCTGCTCCCTGGATAAGAAAGGGGACTGGAGCCTGGCAGTGGTGGCGCACACCTTTAGTCCCAGCACTCGGGAGGCAGAGGCAGGTGGATCTCTGTGAGTTCGAGGCCAGCCTGGTCTACAAGAGCTAGTTCCAGGACAGGCTCCAAAGCTACCCAGAGAAACCCTGTCTTGAAAAACAAAAAAGCAAACAAACAAACAAAAAGGGGGGGGGGTGGGGTAGGAGGAACGGGACTGAATGCTAAGCAAGAGAATTTCCCACTGAAACAAACCTAGAAAGCCAGCCATGTTCCACCTTGTCTCAACACAGTGTTATCATTTTGACGGTGTTCTCTTAGTTTAATCTTGACCGTGAACTTCCAAGAGCTATTTACTGGCATCGGCCTGTTTTGTAGACTGGATGAGAGGTTCGCATCTTTGTCACAGTCCAGGCTTTGGGGTGTGGTGACGACAGGACAGTGCTGTGGCTTCTGGAGGGAACACTTGGACTTTGGACCAACTGTAGTTCTTCAGGGTCCAGAAGAGGCAGGCAGGGCTGCCCAGTACCAACCACTGTTGCCCTGCTTGGCATGGATCCCAGAACAGGAGGGCACCGTTATGGAGGAGCGGCAGCCACAGCATGCCAGTTTCTCACCAGAAGCAAGGGTGTGTCAGGGATATGAGCTTTCTGTTGCCTCGGGGTGTGGCAGCCTTGTGAGGATGCTGGCTACCGCCCACAGTCGAGGTGGTAGGGCCCCACTGTGGTAAACTAGGGGCCACTGTGCTGAGCTCTAAGACCCACTTAGCCCACAACTGGGCATGCTCACAGAGTTTCCTGTTGGTGGCAAGGTCTCCTCCATCAGACTGGCGGTCCCTGAATAGAGGTTCCCAGGGCTTGGGTGACTCTTCCTCCTACATATCCGGAGTTCTAGAGTACAAGAACTTTGTCTCTCTCTAAGTACTGAAAGCCATGGTCCCCACTCTAGGATGGGACATGAAAGGTGGGGCCAGCAGCACTGGGAGGAACCGGTTTATCCTCAAGGAGGCCCTGAGAAGAGTTAGGACTTGCTGAGGTAATCCTCCAGGGGGGCCATCCCCCAGACAGCCTCCCATCTTCTAGCCAGGAGGATGGGTAACGGGTGAGGTGTGACCTCAGGAATGTAGAACTCAGAGCCAGCAGGGGCAGCCCTGCTGGCCCAGGCTCAGCTCCAGCACGTAGCTGCCAGCTCCACTCCTCGGAGGATCCTGCAATGTTCTGCCTTGATGCTTGGAGTCCTTGGCCCTGCTTCTGGCCATTGTCTCATCCTACAGAGGCTGACAGATGTGCACAGCTGGGTGGGGGCTCTCAGCGAAATTGAGCTGGCTCACCACAAGCCTGAGCCATGG